AGATAGATAGATAGATAGATAGAATAGATAGATAGATAGATAGATAGATAGATAATGAACAGACTGAGTTAGATAGATAGATATGGACAGACTGAGATAGATAGATAGATAGATAGATAGATAGATAGATAGATAGATAGATAGATACGAACAGACTGAGATAGATAGATAGATAGATACGAATAGACTGAGATAGATAGATAGATAGATAGATAGATAGATAGATAGATAGATAGAAAGAATCACGTCCGTGATGCCCATATTTGGAAATAACTCAAGAGATGGTACAATTTGAAACCGGGTAAAAGCACTCCAATAATGGTAGAAGTTGTCACGAGTCATTTCTCACCGGAACGGTTTAAATATATTTATTCGTTCATTAGTTGACTTGATAAAGCGGTACATCTTTTCTTCTATAGAAAAAGAAAGCTTAGGAAAGAACAATTATGCAGATTCATACATAGACATCGACATAGCATCGTGACTGAAAGCATCACGACTTAAGCGATCACCAGATGAGGTGGTACTCCTCTTTATATAGGTCACTGGAGGCGTAGGGTGGTAGTCGAAGGAGAAAAACCGGTTTATTTATGTGTTTAGGGCTAATGTTTTCAGATTTTCTATAATTCCGACCTTGAGTAGGATTTATGTCTAATTTTTTTTTTTTTCTTTATGGATTTTCATTTTCTTTCCATTTATTTATTTATTCATTATTTCAATAATATTGTATACTTTTCGATTCTAAAGATTGGGGTACGCTTTTAATAAAAGTTTCGTCCTGGGTAAGACGTTAAACTACATCCGCTTCCTGGGTAAGATTTTAAACAACATCCGCGTCCTGGGTAAGACGATAAACTACATCCGCGTCCTGAGTAAGATTTTAAACTACATCCGCGTCCTGGGTAAGACGATAAACTACATCCGCGTCCTGGGTAAGATTTTAAACTACATCCGCGTCCTGGGTAAGACGATAAACTACATCCGCGTCTTGGGTAAGATTTTAAACTACATCCGCGTCCTGGGAAAGATGATAAACTACATCCGCGTCCTGGGTAAGATTTTAAACTACATCCGCGTCCTGGGTAAGATTTTAAACTACATCCGCGTCCTGGGTATGACGACAAATTACATCCGCGTCCTGGGTAAGACGATAAACTGCATCCAACAGCAAGGCCTTTGATCAGGAGATTTTGAGGAGCGTGGAAAAACCTCTTAATTGCTGGTGTTTTCAGGTCCACCCTGATCCGGGTGGTAGCACCTGTTAGGGTCCCGGCTATGGGCAAATAGTTAACTATTACCAGCAATACAATTCTGAAAAATAATTATTACCAGCAATAGTATTTTGAAGGAAATTTATTACCAAAAATACATTTTTTAGGAAAACGAAATATTACCAGCAATAAAAAATGTTGTCGGGATTAAATAACCAATTGAATTTGATATACTGCAAAACAAAATAAACCAAACAAATCTAAACCAAAGAATAAATATGGGGTATGCTCTTAATAAAAATTTATGAATTTTAAGTACTGAAATGAAACTTGTGAAAATATACAATTATATATATATATATATATATTTCTGAGATGAGGTATTATATACACTATTACATTATTCGCACTATTGTCCCTATTCTTTGTCGCCATATTTATTACAACGTTTCGGCCGTTATACGCTCCGGCCTTCTTCAGGTGGTTGGAATGTTATGCAGATCATTTCCTAGGAAACCGACAGCCCGACACCGGCACATGAGATTTGATTATAGTGGTGAAGGTTTCGTGCAGGACCATCCACACTTTTTGAAGGGCCGAATTCAGAGACCTGGTGCGCTAAGTGCCACAAAGTTCCCCAGACGACCCTCCGCGGGTTTTGAATTCAGAGTTGTCCTTCTCCTAGACCAGTTATCATCCAAGGCTATAGAACCCAGTTTTTCCTGCTATTTTACCCATAGCTGGAGGGAGAAGGAGACGATTCAAAAATTTATCACTTAGCAGATTCATGTTATATTCAGCATTTCTACTCCAGAAATTTGTAGCTAAGCCATAATGTAATCGTTTTGTTACTCATCAGGTGCTGTCAGGAATTGGCTGTTGATTTTCTCATTTTCGTAAAAAAAAAAATCTATATGCTTTTTAATGATGTCATTTTCATTCATTCTTTTTGGTTTTGTGTGTAGGTGCACATGTTTATTCATGGTCAAATACATACATACATGCATACATATATATATATATATATATATATATGAAGAAAAATATACAGAAAATCTTAATATGCAATTATGCTGTATTAACGTGATCATATTTAAACGGAACGCTGATCTGATGTAAAAATTTCAGTTATCTGTTTGGATTAGTTGTGCTCTTATGTCCATCGTCTTTTCATGTTGAATTTTATAGGTTCTAATGTTAATTATGTTTAATGAAAATGTCCTGAAGATGGTCTAAAATAGCCCGAAACGTCCAACGTCGACTTTATATTAACATTAATACAGCATAAT